GGGGGGGCGGGGGAGAGAGAGAGAAGGCGGTGGCGACGGGAGCCAATAGGGCGACTCTAGGGCGGGGCTATTTCTGAGGGCGGTGCCTGCATGGCAGCCAATGAGGAGTGCCCCAGAGAGAGTCACTAGAAAGGGGCTAGGGAAAGTACTTCCGGGATGGGGGGGCAGGATCCGCTCCGAAGCCTCTGGGTCCCACCTGAGGAGGGGCCATTCCAGGGGACGGGCCCAAGCGGATAACCACTTCCGGGGCTAGTGTGGGCGTGGCCACGGCGCAGCCCCGCCTGTTGTTCGGCAGGGGAGGGCCTGTGCATTCCCGAAGGGGCGGGGCTAAGATGTTGGCCCTCTGAGACTGTGGACCGGAGGGTGACAGCGGCTTTTCGGAGGCCCAGAGCCCCAGCATGGCGTGCGAGAGAAGCTAACCACTTCTGCGGGCCGCCTGGTATAGACAGATGCGCGGCCATGGGTCCCGAGTACGTACCCTGAATCCGGATCCTTCCATAGCCGCCCGCGGAGGTCCCACTGCCCCGATCGCCTCCTTTTCCGGGTCAACGTGCTGTCATATCCGGAGAGGACTTTCCCCTCCGGGCCAGAGAGTGGTAGCGCCCCTACCGGTGTCGAGTTGGAGCGGATGACACCATCTTCCAAAATAGGGGCGCTTGAACTACCTTAGTCACCAGCCGTAGACCGCGGAGGAGGAACCAGACCGCGCGGCGGCGCAGGCGCAGTCTCTGGCCCCGAAGTAAACAAGTAGGAGGACTCCAGCGCGCCACCCGATCCCTCGAGACCGCCCGGGAACGCCTCCCTCCTCGTCCTCCATGTTTTTTACTGGTAGCGAAGCCATTTCGGTACCATTTTCCTCGAGGTCAGGGTCACAGCTGCCCGGTGGAGGCCATGTTCATGTGGGCCACGACCATCTCTCTGCGGGGCGTGACGGCGAGGTGTCAGAAAGGAGGAACGGATAGAGGGAAAGAAGGTGAGAGGCGCTGTATGGCCCCGGAGGCACTGGGGACTTCGGTAGCCGGCTGAAGCCGTCAGCAGCCCTGGAAATGAAGCTGCCCGTGACGAATTCCTGAGTCACCCGTGGAAAGTGGGCTGCGTCGCCATTTTGAAGCTGGGCAAACCGAAGCCAGAAATGCTGTCATATTGGATCTTTGCCAGCTTTGTGCTGGGGCGGGGGCGGGGGGGGGTGCCTGTAGATTGGAGGGCAGCAGAGCCCAAGTGCATGATAGGCCCTTGAAGCCGTGCTGGCTGCCATGTCGGGACTGGGGCCATTTTCCTCCACTTCTGTGGAAGACATTGGAAGTGAACGAGGGACGTCAGGTCGCTTGCTTTAGTCTGTGATAGTCGTGTGTGAGCATGCGACGGCAGCCATATTTGTTGTGGGCTGTTCAGCATCGTGAACGTTGGTTTCCGCGTAGACTGAAGCCTTTCACAGTCTTTTTATGGCCACCCTGCTGTTGCCATTCCCCACTGGTCCGAAATGAAGCCTCTAGCTGCTAATTTAATTTGGGATATCCAGGAAGGCGAAGTGTTCACAGTGGAGGTGGGGCAACGGTATGGAAGTGACGCAAGGCGCCGCCATTGCTTTTGAGGGCGGTGACGGCTGCAGGCCGGCCATGCTGGCTACGGGCACGTGAGTCGAAGCGGCGTTGTGAGCCTGGGTGTGGGGATTTAGCCTTCCTTTGGTGGAGGGGCGCTGGGAGGGCGAGCGGTCCCTGAGGGGTTCCGCCGGCAGAGGTCGGGGGGTAGCGAGCGCCCTGCGGCCGTCGGGGGAGCACTGGCATGGCTTCTCCAGGAACTCCTTGTATGACCCGCGGCGCCTCCTAGTCCCGTCTAGTTCCCGGTATGCAGATGGGCCGTAACCCTCACCTCGACCGTGGGCCATGTCCACAGGGCTGGGGACCGTTGGGGGCTTCGAAGAGCCCCTCGCCCGCCCCGGGGCGGGACATCCGGTCCTGGCCCCCACCGGGGCGGGATTTCCTGTTTTCTTCCTGATGAAGGGGCCTCGCTGGGTCGCGGGCGTAGTGCAGTCCCGGGCCTTGCACCGTGACAGGCCTCTGGGGTGCCCCGACCCGTGCCCCGTGCTTCAGCCTTTTCCTCCCCCTCTCCCCACCTCCCCGCCGCCTCTCACTGGACAGGTCCCCGCTGTGGGCCTGTCCGAGGCGTTCAGGAGACCATAGGCCCAGGAGCGCCGAGTAAGTCGCCCTCCTTAGAGCTGCCTTCACAACCCACTCCCCCCGTCTTCACACTGCAGCTGTGGGTACCCCGAGGGGGTGCAGGGGCCTGGGATCGAGCGGCCCTCTACTTTCCTCTGTTCCCAGAGAAGTGAGCCCAGGATAGCAGTCGCCAGGCTGTGTGAGCTTGGACCAGTCACTTCCCTGAGCCTGGGTTTCCAGCCTCCTCCATCAGACAGGAAGGGCTACGGCACCTGCTTGGCTCCCCCAGGTGCGGTAGGACTTGGGGGTCCAGCCAGCAGCTGTGTCAACCCACATCTGCAGCCCAGCTACATGCCTCCCGATGGAAACATGGGGAATCTTCCTGCTGAGACAGGCAGGGGTATTTGATTTGTCTCAGGAGGCAGCTCCAGGCCACACTGCCCCAGCCCAGTATTCCAGTGTGCTGGCTCAAGATCCAAAACTCTCGGGTTGGAGGTTGCGACTGTAAAGTGGGGTGGCCTCTGCTGCTCCTTGGAATGGGAGATGAGAGGCTGGGGTGGGAAACATAAGTCAGATAGGTGGAGGGATGGAGTCTGTGAGCAGGCTGGCTTTGAGAGACAAGGGGGGTCTGCACGTTGTATTCAGATCCCAGTGGGACAGGATCCCATCCAGTGACAGTGCTCATCACTTCATGGTGGCAGCTCAGCAGCTCAGTCCCCTCCACCCTGTTTACTGGGGAGGGGAGGCACAAAGAGCTGAGTGAGCCAAGGTCACACAGCAGTGTGGGGACTCAGGTCACTGCCCCCCCTCCGGGGGGGGTGTATGGTCTGATGGAAGGGGCAGCAGTGTTCTCGCCAGGGGAGCTGCAACAGGCCTAAGGAAATCAGGAAGGCAGCTACTCATTGCAGGAAGCAGGTGTAAACTCCCCTTGCAGGTCTCTGGGCACAGAGCACGTTGCACTCTTGGAATGACAAGGAGCCCAGCAGAGGAGGTAGAGGGACAGAGGGCAGCACGCTCACTGGGGAGTGGAGGTTGGTGGTGGCCACAGGATCATGGAGCTGGGCGTGGAGCCCACCTGCTCCTTGAGACTCCTAGGGGCAGAGACTCAGGGCAGCGTGGCCAAGGAACCCAGCAAGTTGCTGCTAGTTCTCTTTGTTCTTGGCAATCCTCCTGCCTCAGTCTCTGAATGCTGTGGTTTCAGGCATGTGACACCGTGCCTGACATGTGTGTATTAATGTCTCCTACAAGCCACAGAAAAGGAGTACATGAACTTCATGTTAGCCATGACTTTCTTTAGTCAGTGTCCAAAATGTCCTCCTGTCCACATTCAGTGGCCATCAGAACAGTCACTCCCCCAGCGACTCTTGCAGCTTCACCTTCTGTTTGCTGAGTCTTGGAATCCCCAGGTGAGGTTGGCCGTAGTGGTCGACACAGATAAATCTCAGCTTCTGGGGTAGCCGTGGCAGGATTGCCAGAGCCACCTGTCAATAACCAGTCTCAAAAGCGTGGACTAGGGGGCTGGGGCTGCACTGCAGCTCAGGAGGTAGAGGCAGGAAGATCATGAGTTCAAGGTCATCCTTGGTCCACAGTAAGTTTGAGGCCAGCCAGGACTACAGGTCAGTCTCTAAACATAAAAAAGGAAAAACCTAAACAACAAACCCACGTGGTTGTGACGCAGCGGGGCCGCCACACCTCAGCTCCCGAGTGGGAATGGGCAAGGATGAAGATGGTGGGTGGGGGGAATCAAGGGGCTCCGCTGGGACAAGGTGCACGCTCATCGCGGGGCGGGCGGGAGCATTGTGGGCTTGGGACACATGGGTGACGCCAGCCTCAGTCACACCATCCTTTGACCCACAGGGCGTGGATGGCGTCAGGGCGGCCCGAGGAGCTGTGGGAGGCCGTCGTGGGGGCCGCCGAGCGCTTCCGGGCCCGCACCGGCACCGAGTTGGTATTGCTGACTGCGGCCCCCCCGCCGCCTCCCCGCCCGGGGCCCTGTGCCTATGCCGCACACGGCCGCGGGGCGCTGGCCGAAGCTGCCCGCCGCTGCCTCCACGATATCGCGCAGGCGCACCGGGCAGCCGCCGCCACCCGGCCTCCCGGGCCCCCGCCAGCACCGCAGTTGCACTGCGGGGCTCCTAGCCCTCCGCCTCGGCCCGCACTGGCCAGGGAGGACGACGATGAGGATGAGGACGAGCCCACCGAGACGGAGACTTCCTCGGAGCGGCTGGGCGGCAGCGATAACGGAGGTGAGCCCGTGGGTGCGGCACGGTGGCTGGCAGATGGGCCAGCCTGAAGGTAGGCCTGCTGGTCTCCGAACTTTCCCAGGCGTGCTGTGCACCATGAAGACAGGCCGCCAGGTCAGCTCACATCAGATCCGGAGCATCGGTGCAGGAGCAGAGAGCACCACATCACACGCCTGGGAGGGCTTTCTTGAGGGTTCTGGTCTGGCCAGGAACTGGTGCCCCACACAAAGAGAGGAGGGAGGAGGGTCTGTGGGCCCGTGTATGCAGCTCAAGATGGACCCAGAGATGGGGCACAGCCTCATCTGAAAGGGCCAGGGCCGTTCGGCACTAGTCCCACCTCCCAGAGGCCCACTGCAGGCAGCTGGCCCCGGAGGAACCTGCTGGAGGCGGGGTAGGGTGGTGGGTGCTCCCTGAGACTTAACCGTGGGGCTTTGAGAGCAATCTGGCGTTACTGATGGCCCACACTGTGATCTGTGGCTGGCTGCCTCATCCTTCGCAAGCAAGCCTTGGTGTCCAGAAGGGTCCGGACCGAGCCTGGCTTCAGATCCAGCCGTGGTCTCCATTTGTCCCCACCAGCGCTGCTTTCTCCTTGCCTGTTTCTGTCACGTGCCCCCAAGCTGGTCTTGAGGGCCCCACGTTAATGCAGCTGGCTGTTGGCATTCAGGTGTAGCAGGGACCTAGGGGACTGAGGGGCTGTCGGCGCCGGCAGCAGTGGCCGAACGGGCCAAGACCTGACCGGCGGCCGGCCTACCCCACCCAGGACTCTTTGTGATGGATGAAGATGCCACCCTCCAGGACCTGCCCCCCTTCTGCGAGTCAGACCCGGAGAGCACGGACGGTGAGTCCCGTGGCCAGTGAGCCCCGGGCTGGCTGTCCTGGGAAGTGGGTGGGGCGGCCGACACTGAGCCTCCTCTGTCACAGACGGCAGCCTGAGCGAGGAGGCCCCTGCCGGCCCCCCGGCCTGCTCTGTGCCCCCGGCCGCATCCCTTCCCACGCAACAGTACGCTAAGTCACTGCCCGTGTCCGTGCCGGTGTGGGCCTTCAAGGAGAAGAGGACGGAGGCGCGGTCGTCGGACGAGGAGAACGGCCCGGTGAGCGGGGAGCCAACACCCCCCCGTTAGGGAAACTGAGGCCCCTAGGTCAGGCCACACATCTGCCAGACCCATCACTCAAACTTCCCAGGCTGGATGGGAGCCAGCTCGTGACAGGTGGTCGAATGGTCCTTCCTGCGCGACCCCGAGCTGAGCGGGAGGTTCCCCGGGACCCCAGTAGCCTCAGCGGGAAGCCCAGGTCACCCGTGTCTGGGGCGGAACCTCTGGGCCGGTGCTCAGTAGCGAGCGTCCGGAGCGCGCCACCTGAATGACAGTCCCGGCCCGAGGGCTTCCGGGAGGCGGTGCCTGCGTGCTAACGGTCACTTCGCTCCGCAGCCCTCCTCGCCGGACCTGGACCGCATCGCGGCGAGCATGCGCGCGCTGGTGCTGCGGGAGGCGGAGGACACCCAGGTCTTCGGGGACCTGCCGCGACCGCGGCTCAACACCAGCGACTTCCAAAAACTGAAGCGGAAGTACTGAGCGGGGAAGCTCCCGGCCTTCCGGTGCCGCCCCCAACCGCAGCGGGCCTTCTGCGCTTTCCGTTGGGTCTTTGCTCCTTCTGCCCAGCAACAGAAACATTCGTGACGGGATTGGCTCGCTCCCCGGATGGGGGCGGGGCTACTGTAAACTTTTATGGGTCAACTCCGTTTCTTGCCTAGCAACAGAAGCTTTGCCCCGCGGCCCCGGCTCCCTGCCTGAGAGCACACTGACGAGCCGCGGGCGGAGCTCCACCGTCTGGCGGAACCTGCCCAGGGCTGCAAGCACAGGGCCGCCCCCGAGACATTGATCCCTGGGCCCCGCCCCCTGGGGGCGGGACCAAACCCTCCGAATCTGAGCCGGCCAGAGGCCTTGGGGTTCGTATACACTACTGGGGCTGGGGTCCCCCGTGTCCCGCCCTCTCAGGGATGGTCCGATGGTCCTGCCCCTGCGTCCGCCATTCCCGGTCCCCCAGAACGTCCCTGCGTCCGCCTCGTCCCTGCCCCGACCCCAACAGGTGCCTTACAGGGCCCTCTTCACCCCAGGTTGGGGCAGGGCCCTTACTCTCCGGCCCTGCCCTGGGTGCAGGGAGTGGGTGGGGGGGGGTCGGAGGGGCGCTCAGAGATTAAAATTTTACCTCTGATAGATGCGTGCGAGTTGAGCTGTTTCGGCCATCTTGGGCCCGCGAGTCCGGTGCGCGGCACTGGGGTTCAGGTCTTGGTGCGCAGACAGTAGAGGTGAGGTTGGGCGGCCTTCCGGCCTGTGCCGGAAAGCCGGAGTTACCCGCCACCTCGGGGTGCGCACACGAATTAGCCCCTTCCCCATCGCATTGAGAAAGGGTCTCGCCCATTAGTCCAGGTTAGAGCCTCAGGGTCCTCCCGATTCAACCTCAGAGCTGGATGTCCATCCGTCCACACGCACAGCTTTATTTTAAAAAGTCAGGGTTCGGGACTGAAGAGATGGCTCAACGGTTAAAAGCACTGGCTGTTCTTGCAGAGGACCCGAGTTCACCCACATAGCAGCTAACAACCATCCATAACTCCAGTTTCAAGGGATCCCTCGCCATCCTCTGACCTCCGCTCCGCGGGCATTACACTACACAGGTGCACTTACATACATGCAGGCAAAACACTCATACACATAAAAATAATATACTTTTTTGAAAGATCAACGTCTCCCTATGTCGACCAGGCTGGCCTGGCACTCGGTGCTGCAGTTAGAGGCTAGCTCTTGATCTCAACTGGGGGGGGGGGGGGGGGGCCCGCCGGC